AGCCAATTTTTAATTAATTCATATTTAATTCTATAATTCATATTTAATCTCCCTCTCCTCTCTTTCCTAGGGGATCATGTATTCCATGTGGCTATATTCCCTGATTCTGTGTATAATAGCGGTGCTGGTGATTGGAGTGAGTGTGAGGTTGTGCTTGGCTGCTTGTTGTGCTGCAGTTGGGCCAGAAACTAGAAGCTGGAGCACATCTGCATGCCTGAAGCGCTGCCTCGGCTTGGTTGGGTCAGTGGGCAGTATTGTGGGCGCTCCTGTGTCTGTGCTCTTGAACCTGAGGACCTCCCAGTGCCTGTACACCTGTATCGCTATGGTCTCCTGCCCCCTCCTGCTCAGGCAGTTCACAATGTGCCTCCTGCTTCTACTAACTCTTAATATACATCTGCAGTGCCGCCTGGGGAACTAGTGAGTGTGAACATCCTGACCTTGCTTACAGTGCTTATGTTTGAGAAGTTCAGCAAGTTCTCAGCTATTTGGATTTTTGCATATGTGAAATAACATGAAAGACTTGATTTGTGCTGACTATAAAATCATAGTATTAAATTGTGCTGAATATGCTAAACAGTAAAAATTCAGGACGGAGCTTATGTTTCTTTCAGATATGCAGGCTTAGTGACTCGTAGGCGGGTTTTGTGCTTGGTGCTGCTCTGCTGGGTCATTTCAGTGATCATCGCCTTTGGCCAGTTCATCGTTTCCAACTCTTCTGATACCTGGGGAGCTGCTGCGGACGACAATACGGCTGGACTGGGGATGAATGAATGGCCTGAAGCCAATTATACCACCCCTGCCCTCCCTCCCAAACGTCCCTACCCACAGGATCGCTCTGTAATCGGGCAGTTCTTGCCTTACGGAGGTTTTCTATCCAAGTTCCTGGTGGAGGACAATGGGAACTTCACATACGCGGAGATCCACGGCAGCCATTGGGGCATCTGTGCCCCCGACACCACACTCAGTCCAGTCTTCATGGTGTATGTTTATGCCGTCACTGTGTTTGGTATCCCTTTGTTGGTTCTGTTGGGTGTGTTTTTGGACTTGATGTGTTTCATGCCACAGCAGGTTCCTGCGAGCTCCACGTTTTCTCAGAAACGAAGCTCAGTGTGGTCTCGCTCATTGGCTCTCTCTATTTCTCTACTAGTAATGCTTTGCCTGCCCCTGCACATCACCCATGCTTTGTTACTTTTCGCCCCGAGCGCTGCTAGACCCAGCTGGACCTCACTGACGGCCTCTGTTCTCTTCCAGATGTATAGCCTAGTGCCCCCACTTCTCTTCACCAACACCTCTCAGCAGGTAGGCTTTGAGTGCACCTTGTTATCCGCGCCCTACCTGACCTCGAGTGTTATCTCCTCTCGAGTCAAATCTGTGGGGAGTGCTTTCCGTTCAGTGGACGATTTCAGTCACCCTGGACCGACACTGAAAGGCAAAGAGATGTGATGGGATGTCATGTGAAGAGGTCACTTACACCAAAAGTTATCTGTAGAGTCCTTGCATGGGTTATATGAAATTATATTCAGCAGTTGAGTAAAACTAATCCAATACTAGCTCATGGCAGATGCCAGGCTTTCTGCAGTGTATTTGCATTAGGGTCGATCCATGTCATTTCAGATTGAATTAAAGAAGTGTGTTGCTGCACAACGATTCTTTTCATAGTTTTTTGTGTTATTTGAAACCTAAATCTAAAGCATGAGTAAAATGGTCATTTTTTGAGTCCCCTGAAATTATTATACACATACATTCCATGTTTCTCTAAAATGTACCCATTTAACTGTAGTCATTAGTAATTTTTAAATGGGCACATTTTTTATTCTCAATGAATTCTTTCCAACTGATGATTTCAACTGTATTGTTATTTGTAGTGTATATTCGTTATTCGTATAGAAGCCAATCTGATGGAATGTTTTCATGTCTAGGCTAATATTATCAAAGGTTTACACTACCCATTTCAATTTGAATGAAATTTCAATTGTATTTGGTCAGTTTATTCTAATTAACATAGTTACATGAAACATTTTCATTCAGCCAAATGAGTGCCTAAAAATGAGCAAAATATTGTACCGAACCTGACTAAAATATTAACATCTCACATTCTGCTCATGGACTTGCAAATTTGACAAAGCCAATCAAGACTTTGGTTTTAAGATCAAAACACATTTATTTGTATCCTTGGTGTTTTTATGATTAAGGCCCCAATACCACCCACGTCTAAAAAGTTTTCACTTTTTTCCAACTTTAGGGGCCAATTATGAAAATACTTGAACTCAGCAGGGACACTGAACCGTTTGGATTCGAAGGAAACAAGTTTGTGTATGTATCTTCCAATTCCTGTGAGGCTAGCAATCATAATTCTTGAGTTATCATACCCTGAACATGGCTTCCCAGACAAGACCTTTTTTGGCTTGGAAATAATGAATTCTTCTGGGGGCTGAAAAATGATCAAATTGTTACAATATGCAAGCAATATTTTTCAGACCTTAGTTTCATGCAACCACCAACAAATAAGCAATCTATGAACAAAACTGGTGCAGTAATAAACCTTTCTGATTGAAGATGTAATGAATCATTAAAAAGCACTTTGTAAATTCCTGTTATGTGGCAAAAATGGTCCAATAAATTTTCCACTGCTGCCATGTTTAATCCCAGTGATACTCCAGGATTAACTGTGAAATGATTTAAGCAACAATGTCAGAAGACTGTTATAGGAATACATCAATATGTTTGCATACTTATACATGATTAAATATAGTACATTAAAATGTGTCCCATCAATGTTCAAACCCAGCACAAGCTTTTGGTTTGATCTGAATGTTTAATTATAACAACTATAATAGCATATCAAGTGGGAGAGACTGTTTGAATGCATCGAGATAATTAACCACTCAATAACTCCCAGGGAAAACAGCTGTTTTGATTAAATGCGTACTTCTTATGTGCAGCCTGAATAAAAGCCGTTTCACACTAATTGCATTATTCTTTTTGCTCACTTGTGCCAGTGCTAGTGTAAGAAATGACTTGTATCTGAATATTTGTGTTGTGATCTCCATGTCTTCCTCTCCCTCCTTGCCGTCTCACTCCCCCAATCCGCCTATTAAGTTTCAAGCATGAAATCCTCCATCTAATGTTACTTTCACTCACTTTGTCTTTGTATAGCCCCGACTTTGATTTGTCTAGCACTTTTTCCTTTCTTGATCATTGTCTTCAACTCATTTTCTTGCAAATGCCTTTCTCTCTTATTAAAGTCTGCACTAACCTCCAAAGCCGAGGTGAATTATTGAGTGAAGCTAAACTGCCCAAAAGGGAAAACAAGTAAAAGCTCTCCCTAACCGAGAGCTCATTTGATTGTTTTCTCCGCTCGAGAGCCTTTTAGCTTCCTGCCGATATGACAATCTTTCATCACTAAAGTGGCTTCAGTCAATTCATCGCACCTGCTCTAGTCCATATCCTCTTCAATGGGGTCATTACAAGGAGCTCGGAAGCTTCAAATCCGTCACGCACAGAACGTAACCGTTTATCGTCCTTGGATAAAGCTGAAGGAAGGTTTGATGCGCTGTTTGACCAGCATATGGTTTATTACCCATGGATCTGCCTTTGAGATGCCAGCCGAGCTCCCATAAACAAAATTGCAAGAGATTGATGAAGTTCAGATGAAGTCTATGGCTGTCATTTGAACTCCACGTTTGGAGTTTGTCGGCTCACTGAAGCGTTACTTGCTTTGCAGAAGACCCAAAATTAGCAACTGACCATGCTTTGTGAAGCATTTATACTTGTACTAAAAGAAAATTGCTAGCATAGGCTATGTCTTTCTTTATCTAAGGAGCTGCTCAAAGCGAGCAGAACAGCAGGTAACGCAGTGTGTGCTTTGATTGCCATGTGACAGTTACTGTTTATGACAGGCTTCTGCAGAGCCTCTCCATCAATAGAGTACAAACACATCGATCAGTCATCCTCCCCTCGGCTTTTAAATGTAGACCCACCCCTCCCGGAGCGCTCAGCAAGTGGCTTCTGACACAATCGTATATTGATTGCAGTGGAATAATGGGGGGGGGGCTGCTTTGAAAAAAAAAAAAATTTCTGAAAGTAATTTTCAGATGTAATTTTCAGAATAACGGCAGGCCTAATAATGTTATAATGTACCAACATTATGAACACTATAGGATATTTTAGTTCCCCTCACTTTACAACAAATCCTTTAAATTTAACCGTATCAGAACAGAATAAGAATGAAAAAATATATAATTCTAATGGATAAATATACCTTCCCAGGGCAGTACCTTGCCTCACCGACTAAAACCAGGGCGCCCACTATGGAGACGGCACCAGAGGTGAGGGGGCACAGTGACCGAGGTGGCCGGGCCGGGCCCCCTCAGGCCCCCCCGTCGCGCCAACGCTGTAGAGGAGTCCTATTTTAATGCACCTGCTTTCTCTCTTCGGTGTCTGCTGCTCTTTTGACATAGGAGTCCTATGATTCATCATCTCAGTCACACAGCTTTCATCTCTGCTGGCAGCTTCTGCTAATTAAAATATCCTCTCCTTTTTCCTTGCTGCTCTCCTTATTGCCACTGGTGAATCTTGATTGTGTCGGCTTCTCGAAGTCAGAAAATCAGTCTTTTACAGGAGATTCTTTTAAGTATTTTTTATTTTGTCGTGCTTGGTATCTTTCCCCTATAAAGATGTACAGTTAGCTATATCAACAGCGACGCAAAGACTACAAAATAAACAGGAAGTGAAAGACGAAGAGGAGACGGACAATTAGAAGGAAAGACACAGAGGATCAAGAAGGACAGAAGAGAATGAAAGAGGAAATAGAAAAGTGGGTACACAGCTGTTTCTACTGGTAAAACTAAAGCATGGGAAGTATACAATTTATAACATTTACAATTATAATAACAGTAAGAATAATAATAATAACAATAACAACGATCATAATAGTCCAAATAATAATTCATAAAAACAATTAAGACCTCTGATATCTTTTAAAGACAAACAAAATATATAATTTTTTTTTTGAATTTTGAAATTTTTTTTTTTAAAGATGACGTAACAGTAGTTTGTTCAGTTTTGCAGCTCTAAGCTAATATTATGTGTTAGTAAGATAGAATCGCTGGTAATGTGCACAAAAGTAAATGTTTTTTTTTCTTAAAAGAGTCATTTAACTTACTTTGTAGACTTTTTCATACAAATAATGACTTAAGAGATATGTTTCATTGTGTACGTGTTTTCGTGTTGAGCAATCAAAAAAGAAAAAAAAAAAACATTAAAATTTCTTACATGTTCTCTTCAAACTCCCTTCCTGTTTTTTCTCACCCAAGTCGAGCTACTCACGGTTTCACGTTTCCAGTGACTCTCTGCGATAATTAAGCCCCTTTTTACAGCGTCAGAGTGAGCGGTCCGCTCCAATTCATTCCTCTCATAAAAGAGAACATGTCTGATCACTTAATTATTAACAAACAATAGTGGAGAGATAGAGGAGGGAGAGGAAGGAGCATTGGAGAGGGGGAAACAGGGAGTCACCGAGAGAGGATCAAAACGGGAGAAACTTTTCTTCACAAGTCAACAGGTTTTGGCCAACATGAGCAGATAATGGAGTCGCCAGATGAAAAGCGCAGATGAATACTTTATGAGGACGGCTCTGAGCTCTCAGCGCTGTCATTGGTGGATTTATTGTCTACCAGCTCAGTCTCTGAGGCCCAAATGCTTTGGCAAATGCAGGGAATTTCAATTTGCTCATATTGGGACATTCAATAGCTCATAAGCCCTTTGCGGCTTCCCACAGCGATGCTGTTTCACCCAGTTATGGATCAGCCTGTTTTGAATTGACACTTTTCTCTCCTGGTCCTACAATTATGGCTAGTTGTCTATTGTAAAAGCAAGTAAAAACAGAAAGAGTGTGTGTGATGGTCTCTTTCAATCATAGTAATTATCCTCTCCTCTCGGCTCTCTCGCTCTCCACCCCGCTCCATTATTGTCTCCATCCTCTCCTTCCCACTCCAGCTTCATATGGCACGATTGTGATTCCCTCTGGTTGTCGTTGTGGTGGTGTGTAGGTCTGTTTGGGAACAGTGTGTGTTGCGGTGTGCACTCTGCAGCGGTCCAGTGTTTCTGAAGAGCTCCACTAGGGCGGCGCTACAGTAGGTACTCCTTCTTGCCTTGGCTGGCATCATTACCATTGAGGAACGCCTCCTGTACCTCACCGTGTTCATCCAACCCACTGGCTTCGTGAGTCAAATATGAACCTAGAGAGAAAGAAAGACAATTTAAGCAGAATTAGGTTCATACTTCATTGCAGGAATTAAAAGAACAGCAACAACAACAAAAAACATATTAAATCACTTGCTGAGTGCAATTAAAAATTAGATATATTTTCTATTGAAACAGGACGCTGAAGAGATTGTGCTTTTTGTTGTCTTAATTATTGTCTCTTCCTGTTTTGATTTTCATCCAGTAGGGGACTGGGGCTAGTTGATATTTAATTATTAACATTTAAAATATATGTGACAACCCCAATAAAAAATGTGGTAAGCCGCTTCTACCTGACATTTATGAAAAATGCCTGTGTCGTGGTTTAGCCTTTCAGTTCAAATCACCTATTATTATATAGATGACTGAATGCGTATTAGTGTGATTTTAGTTCACTTTTTTAATCAACAACATTTATTAACAGCAGAATTCACAAAAATTATTCAAATTAAAGAGGTGTTTGAACCATCATACAAACGCACTGCAAGAGAAAACACATTTGCAATTGGAATTTTGACGAAAACCCTGACTGAAAAACTTCCCAGCATCAGTTAATTAGTAACTTATCTGCTTTTGTAATTTTTATTAGTTTTTAGTTATTTCTATTTAGCTTTATATTTATTTCCGTTTTGGTTTTTAGTAATTGTAGTACTTAAACTTCAGTTAGTTGCCAAAGCAACATTTCTATTTTTTTAAGGCTTCATGTTAATATTTATAATTTATTTAGTTTCAGCTTTATTTCAATAAACAAAATGATTTTAAATAGTTTCAGTTTTACTTAACAATAACAACACTGCCGTAATCATGATTTGCACTTAAAAAAAAATGAGGACAGATATTATTTTATGCAGTAATCTATATTATGCCACATTGTTTTTAATAGAGCTTAATTTGAATTGAATTCTGGAGCAATGTTTTAATAGATTACCGTCATAGGTAGAAAGAAATTGCAGAATTATGTTTATTCATAATCAAACTTCACAAAGATGCCAAACCTGATGGGTATGTACTCCACTCGTCGTACTTGTCTTTGAGGAACTGAGGGGCTGCTGTACATTCTGAAAGAACTACATGGACAGAAATGGAGGGCAGTGAAGCTTCATGAACTGCAGATGCATGGAAGCTAAGCAGCAGTGAAATATAAAGCCACAGAGCAGCACAGACCTACTGGCCACGGGCTCCGCTTTGTGTTTCTGCCGCACAGGGACAGTGGGGCTCTGCGTCGCTCCAGCAGCTCTAGGGATGTCAGGCCGTGAAGCCGACTGCGTTATGGTCCGGATGCTGTTGCCATGGCGAACGGGAGATTCGAAGTTGGTGATGCTGCCGTTGCGGCGTGGAGGGGAGGTGGAGCGGGCGGACGACTCCATACTAGTAATGTCGCTCTCTTGTTCCGGCTTTTTATCGCCGCCCTCAGGTGCCTGCAGATGTGCTGTAAATCACACATTTACACACCCAAATGTCCAGCCAACTGGTGACAAGCTGATATTGGTTTATGACGTTATATATTGTGAGTCCGTTACTGAAATGGGCCCGAAACGTTCTCTTGTATTCATAATGAAGATAGTTTATAGACAAAGTACCTGCAGCTAACTGAAATACTTTCTTCTTGTCATCCGTGCGCTCCTGCAACAGGAGATTTAATTAGCGTTATAAAATAAACTGCTGGAGAAATGAGATTATATGAAATCCAAAGACCTCATCCTGTTTTGCCCGGGTTCCTTATTGTAAATCACGGATCTGTTAAATGAACTGAAATACATCATGATGATATTCAATTTCGAGTAACTCACGGTCTGCAGCTGCAGTCTCAGCTGGCTGTTGGTGACTTTGAGTGATCTAGCGATGGATTGGAGGTAGTAGATCAGCATGCTGAAAGAGACAGTGACGAACAGCACAAGGTTGAGTAACTGAAGGCATCTGTCCTGCTCGCCTGGTCGAATTATGTTGGCTTGACAAAACCAACATGCTGATATTGTACAAACAGGGGTAGGGATTTTTTCTAACTCTCTAACCATAGACCAAAACTTGTAAATGTAACTCCTAAAGTTTTCAATCTACATCCTCCAAACTCAGCAGCAATGAAGCTATGCTCTTCCATAATTGAATCAACCTGTGTTTTTCCTACAGCACACTATGCAAAACACCTACATTACCATATATCCCACTTATTGTTAAGGGGGGGTCAGTATTTTTAAAAACATTTTTTTATAGTTGTCAGCATGGACACATTCAACTGATCAAAAATGTCAGCAAGGTTTATTTACATTCTATTTGTCTAAAAAAAAAAA